TTCTTTCCTCGTTTCTCGGTATATGCAAATACATAGGTGTGTTGGAGCGCCGAGAAATACGACCATTTCGTGCTTGAGAGCTGGGGCCGAGGGTTTTGAGGATGAATTCGAACCGGAGGGCGCCGCCAACGACGACTGTCAGTACATCAAGGTCAACAAACTCTTTGGCCCTTGAGGTACAATCCAGTGTGAAAATAATGTAGTTCGTTTCTGCGGGCGATTCACAATGAGGATACAACTCTCATCGCCCAATGCATGGTGCTAATGTATAAAGTAGTACATGTAGGCCTACTACAAGTAATAAAATACAATGAATCAAGCGCATGCAAACTGATTTATTATACACATTTTTAGGTAGCCATATATCTGTACATATTTTTTGTACGTCTTGTAATAACTGAATACAAAGGGGCAATTCCACGGTTACATTTCTGATGTACTTTTGAGTTTCCTTGGGCTGTAATTACCTTACTGAAAAGGTTAAATTACTGTTATTCTCATGGTAGATAGAGTAGACCCATAGACCTACCTATAAGCACCAAAGATGACATCCAGAAAAATCGGTTACTCACGTTACGAAAATGTAACGTGAGTAACCGTGGAATTGCCCGAAGGATTAAATGTACACATTTCTGATGTGAAAACGTGATCGGACAAATACGGTAAAAATTGGAAGGACACAATTTCTGAGATGATGAGGAACACGACAAGGTTTAAGCTAATCCAGTCGGATGGTAATTTTTTTATACGAACACAGTTGTATCTGAAAAAAAAACTGCACTGAATGAACTGCACAACACTGATTTTTAAATATTTTCCACTTCACAGTAATCAACTGATTTACAATTTCGATTTTTCATTGTAAATGTATTTTTAACGGTAGTGTAGATTCATAATCATTATGAAATTTCATTGTGTAGAAAATGTCTGCTATGTGTGTAATGTTTGTATTCAGATAGTGACAAGGGCAAGTTTATTATCAAATAGAAATCATATCATTATTAATCTGCAACATTACATGAGACTAATTAAAATGACGTGCTACCGTTTGTGTTACGACTGTTTTGTCCGAAGTTCAACAGTTTTTAGGATTTTTTGCCCGCCGATTGTTTATCATTAAAGACATAGTCCATCATTTGTAATTTGTGCATTTTGTTCGTTTGAAGCAACAAAAGTGTTCAAAATCTAATGAAGTTTCAGCTAAGCTTCAGCTGTATATTCCGAGAAAAACAGCATTCTAGGATCTCAATTTCAAATCAACAGTTGCTAAATCATGTTTTGAATTGTTTTGAATCGCGCGCGCCTGTGCGTCTTGCCAATGCTTGCGCGTGCGCCGAATAACAAAACAAACTACTAATTTAAATTTTCCTACGGTGCTTCTTAAGACGCACCGTTGGAAATGCCTTCTTTAGTTGACTTCAAAATGCGAGTTTGCCAGAAAGAATAATTTCACAGTTTAGTTCCCTTACTATCTTTCAACCAAGTATGTTTTCAACAATAATTACGCCAGTTACTTTTTTGGATGGCTGCAAATGATGGACTCCGGCTTTAAACGTGCACCGTATATTGTGACCGTCTAGATAAAACATTTTTTGCAGCTTTTAATATTGACTGCACTGTCACTATCAAGGCACATGTCAGCACTGGTACTAGCTGGTGGTACCGGTTTTCAGTATTCGTTAGTTGAATCAAAATTAAAAGGGGAAAAAAGCATAGCAACCAAATAGAAAAGCCGAAGGCCGATAAATGCTCCCCCCTCCAAAAAACAAACAAACAAACAAACAAACTAAAGACAAACATTTTCGGCTGTTTCAAGAGGTACTTGGCCGATTTTCGCCGTATGCATCAATTCAAAATAGTGGAGTATTAACCGTCTATGTCAATGATACCTATTCAAAAATACATGAAACAGTCGAGAGTACCTCGCGTGGGTGAATTTAAACTTCCGGTAAAGCACCTCTGCGTTTTACGCCCCAGCGCGCAGTACGCGTCTCGTGCACGCGCCAATTACCAAATAAGGAGATTCTTAGCACTTCGTGCGCGAGGCGCCATAAACATGGCCAAAGGTTACTTTCACATTAAATGAAGCAAAGCTGTTGAACATAATCCCCCAGCTCTGTAAAAAAAAAAATTATCATACAAATTCCCAAAAAATACGTTTAAAACCCCCCCCCCCCCCCCCTGCTGTGACACCCCAAAAAAAATTATACTGGTATAATGTCCGCCTGTTCAAAATACGGTACACCATTCTGTAATGTAGTGTTAATAATCGTCGAATTTGAACAGCGCCCGCTATTGAAATATGGTACCAGGTACCCCCCCCCCTCCCCCCCCCCCCCCCCCCCCAGTTTTTTTTATTTTACGGAGGCCAAGTGTCCGGAGAAAAAAACCTGTGTACATTTTCAGATTTTGTTTGCTGATGACCCCCCCCCCCCCCCCAGCGAAAATTCCTGGATCCGCCCCTGAGATGCCGGCTCGATGTAGGTCCATATATCATGAGCGCCAAATCTTGTGATGCAAGACCTAAGTTTGTAGCATTTCCATTCTAACCAAAGAGGTTTGAGGGCCTAATGTTTCCATCTTAGCAGGACGGACAATAAAAGGCGAAATAAAACGGGTACTGAAACAAACAAGTAAGGGACACACAGGCGGTATGTGTGAGTTTGTTTCTGCTTTCGTTAGGGGACGTTGAACAACAGAGGACAACAGGGTCCACAATTTCCGAAGGTCCACAATTGAGGATCGTGTACAAACCATTATGGGAGGTCTTCCTAAAAAGTGCAAGTACAAACAAAAGAGGGACAATAGGAGGTCCCCGATTACAGGCAAATACTCACGTTTGTGCGTGGGTGGAAGGAAAAGCATAAAGAAGGGATAAAAAGGGATTCTAAGTAGGAGAGAGAGGGGAGAGAAGATGAAGGGAGGGTTGGGTGTGACTGGGAGCATTACAGGAGCAGATCCAGGAATGTTTGAGGGGGGCGAAGGGGGGGGGGGGGCTCGTACCATTTTTTCAATGGGGGCGCTGTTCAAATCCGACGATTATTAACACGGTATTACAGGATAGTGTACAAATTCTCCCATAACCCCAGCAGGCTATGTCAGTGGGAATTGGAAAATACAAATGGTGGTGGCTAGGTTTACATACCTTTTGGAAGAAAAGAGAAATTTCACCTTCAATTCGGGAAACATCCTTGTCACAAACGCCTTGTTTGAGGCTACCATTTTGAATTCAGGAAAAGCATCAGACAGACCATTCACAGGGCACTTTGATTGGTCACCTGGATTATGACCAATCAAAGTGCCCCGTAATTGGTCAGGTGACATTTGAAAGTGCCCTGTGATGGGTCTGTCTGATGTTTGCCAGGAAACAGTCTAGCCAGCCATGCACCAGTCTACTTTTCCTGAATTCAAAATGCCATGCCTCAAACAAGGCATGTGTGACAAGGATGTTTCCCGAATTGAAAAAGTATATGTAAACCTAACCACCACTATTTGTATTTCCAATTCCCACTGAAGCCTACAGGGTCGCGTATTAGGCAGTTTGAAGACTGTTTTGGGTGTGAAATCTGAAGATTTTGATTGGGTTACGAGTGAAAATGGTCAAAAAAAGTTATTAGTAACGCAATAAGGCTATGTACCTAGGACTCTACTATCGCCCAACCATGTCCAAATGTTTAAAAAGGCGATTCGTAGAGTCCTAGTTACTCGGACTATCGTAAGATGGAATTTTGCGTCGAGGTGATGTAAATCAACCCTTACACTTACAGAAATTTCCCATGTAGTTCCCCATGGGACATTTTCCCATGGGACCCCATGGGAATTGCACACCATGTACCATGGGAGTTTTCCCATTGGCTTTTTCCCATGGGAAATTTCATATGGGTTTTTCCCAATGGTTTCTTATCATTTCTCAAAAGATTCCAAATTGCTCCATGGTATTTTCAATATCAAGTTTCTTAATATATTTAACCCTGTGTAATTTGTGCTATTCACCAAATAGGTAAAGCACATCATGGAACTCCGGTGGGGGTTGTTCCACTTAAGTAGTAGTGGCTTGTGCACTCTATGACCAATACTTTCATTATTGCTTCCATACTACGTACCAAGTTGTACCATATTATCACAGTCTGCACAATTTATTTTCTCATAAATGTTTCCAACCATAATAACAAATGAATCAATATTATCCAAAGTTCTTTGAATGACACATTTTCCACATAACAAAATACTGTATGCTTCATTTTACTTCACTTATCAACAGACATTTTCGAAAATTTGCAATTACAACACTCGTTATTGAAGCGATTCTCACAAACATTTTCCATGGTGTTCCCATGGTGTTCCCATGGTTTCCATGGTGTCTATCTCTTTGTGTTCAATTGGTGAAAATCCAAAGTTTTCCACGGTCAGCATAAAAATTATTGATATTCTTGGTAACCTCTATGATCACAATTAAGGGAAACATTTGTGATTGAATTCAAATTTACAGGTGAATAAGTAATTAAATTAAAGAAAGGTTTGCCTATAACTGGGGAATAAATTAGGTTTTAGCTTGGTGGTCGAATGGTAAGACATCTACACTAGAAAGCAGAGGTCGTGGGTTCGAGTCCCATACGAGTGATTTTTTTTCCAACTTTCACTCGGGAGGTATAGTATACAGTGTTTATACGTCGGTGAAGGGCAAAACCTAATTTGATTTACATCGCCCCGACGCAAAAAAAAATCCATCATATGAATAAGATTTATGTGTGTTTACCATATCACTGTCAAGTTTGCTTGTTTGTTTTACCATGGAGCTAGGAACACATCACCAACATGCACCGTTCAACATATCGGTGCTGCATAAACAGGTACCACCGAGCTCGAGCTGGTTCCTATATGGTCCAAGCAAGAGACAAGGTCCTAGCTCCATGTTTAAATTCAGTTGACCCATACGTCAAAGGTGTGAACTGCGCATGTGGCTGATCTCAAATTATCCCTCGCTAGAGCTTAGATTATAAATGGCCAAGGCTATAACTATTAGCCGCGGCAGTCAACTGGTGTTTCGATTGAGTACAACTCGGCATTGGCCTGTTGTCTCGCTTGATCTCCAGCTAGCATTTCAGTTCTACGGATTGGCGCCCGTTGTGTTGGAAGGTAGCAGACTGTACTCCCGGCTCGTTGGATATAAGAGCACGAAGCAACGTCGCAGCATGGAGCGTACTTGGTCTAGCTGTGGTATGTGCATTGTAGGTAAGTGATGACAATGTTGGGGGAACGTATGGTGGCCCTGAAGGGACATCGCATATCGCAAACGTGTGCGCATACGTATGCGATGTCGCGAAATTTATCGCGAATGTGTGCGCACACGTATGCGATATCGCAAAATTTATCGCGAATATGTGCGCACACGTATGCGATGTCGCGAAATTTATCGCAAATATATGCGCGCACGTATGCGATGTCGTGAAATTAATCGCGAATATGTGCGCACACGTATGCGATGTCGTGAAACAATTCGCGAATATGTGCGCACACGTATGCGAATTCGTTTGCAATGTCGTGAATTTTATTGCATACCTTGTCGCATACCTTTCAGTAAAATTCCTAATGAACTGGGGAGTTGTAGCAGCTAGTCTGGAATCTAGACGTAAGGCCGTGTCCGAAACGGGCTTCCAGAGCTATGGCTACGTCTGTTGTCAGCGCGTCCCCACGTATTTTCAATGGGCGTAGACCTAGACCTAGCTCTAGACAACTGATTCGGATGCAGCCTAAGTTTCAAACTTGTACGCGCAAATTTCAAAGTTGCGCAAGTAGCAAGTTTGCGCTCGACAGTACTAGTAGTAACGATTGCACGAGGAACAGCGTGCGCGCGAAGGTTTATTAGTCAGACCCTATTGATATCTAACAGTACGTCTAGATTCCAGACTAGCTGCTACAACTCCCCAGTTCATTAGGAATTTTACTGTAAGGTATGCGACAAGGTATGCAATAAAATTCACGACATTGCAAACGAATTCGCATACGTGTGCGCACATATTCGCGAATTGTTTCACGACATCGCATACGTGTGCGCACATATTCGCGATTAATTTCACGACATCGCATACGTGTGCACACATATTCGCGATAAATTTCGCGACATCGCATACGTGTGCGCACATATTCGCGATAAATTTCACGACATCGCATACGTGTGCGCATATATTCGCGATAAATTTCGCGACATCGCATACGTGTGCGCACATATTCGCGATAAATTTTGCGACATCGCATACGTGTGCGCACACATTCGCGATAAATTTCGCAACATCGCATACGTATGCGCACACGTTTGCGATATGCGATGTCCCTTCAGGGCCACCATAGGAACGTGTTTAAATACTTGAAACATGTATTAAGCATTGGTGGAAAGTGTTTGGCATTTGAAGATTTATATTCAGGAATTGGACACCCCGTATGTTGAAGCTTCTAAACATGTTTATAAAGTGATAGTAACATTGTGTTAATTGTTATAAACACATTTTTTGGAGTGAGGTCTTGAATTTGAAATCTGGGCATGCTGGGTGTGATTATATTTATACTGAGATCGATTTGGTACGGCATTTTTATATTGCAACTAAGTGATTTATTGCCTAAAAATACAAAAGGGAAAGTAATCGTCCAAATATGGCTACTGCCTAGCTCAGAATCAATGAGGTCCTACTTACAATTAGCTGGAGTTACCCAGCTCTAAATGTTATCATTGGGTTGTCGTCTAGGGCTGGAGCTAATTTTTCAGCAGCGTATAGGCAGGTCCCAAAAAAAATTGCGAAAATGTTCAATTAAGTTGTCCCCGTTACACACTAATTGCAACTGCAACTTACCCCAAACTTGCCTGGAATAACCATTACACAGGTCCTTGAAGTACAAAACGATCCACGATGAAGATTCAGCCTACAATTGCAGTGCAAAAAAGGAGGAATAACCGCTAACCTGACAACCTTGCAGGCATGGCCAGGACCGCAATTGGTTTGTGCACACACAAAATTGTGTACAATGAATGGCGGTCGGTTACCAGGCACAGCGCGCTGTCAACTAGTGGTGTTTGCCGGCTGCGCTGGCTGTCGGTTGCGGTTCCAGTACCGCAGCTGTGATGCGAGTGGTAAACCCATTGATCTCCATATACACAGACTATGGAGATCAATGGGTAAACCTCATATTAGTGCATGAAACAGTCATCGGGTGTTACGCTTCCGCGTGACGTCATGCGCCAACAGCCAGCGCAGCCGGCAAAAACGACTAGTTGACAGCGCGCTGTGCCTGGTAACCGACCGCCATTCATTGTACACAATTGTTTTTGTGCACAAACCAATTGCGGTCCTGGCCATGCGTGCAAGGTTGTCAGGTTAGCGGTTATTCCTCCTTTTTTCACTGCAATTGTAGGCTGAATCTTCATCGTGGATCGTTTTTTACTTCAAGGACCTGTGTAATGGTTATTCCGACCAGGCAAGTTTGGGGTGAGTTGCAGTTGCAATTAGTGTGTAACGGGGACAAAATTGAACATTTTCCGTTGGAAATTTTTACAAAATACCAGTTTTCTTGAAAATGACTTCACACCAGGTGCCATAATTTTACAGGATGCTTAAGACTGTCATTTATGAACTTCCTAGTTAGGTATTTTGTAAAAATGTGTTAGTTTTGTTTTTCGATGTTTGCAAATGTTGTATATTCCCTTTAAATTCGAACTTTGTATTTACGCGTAGACATAGTTGGCTATGCTACATTGCAGAGGTCGTGTCCAGTTCTTTAAATCCAAAGTAATTTTGTTTGTTATGGGGGGGGGGGGCTCTGTTTGTGGTCTGATATTTGTTTGCCCTTTTACCCCATTCTTGCACAGTAATGATGCTCCTCGTGCACTACGTGGATTTGTCGTCAAGCGTGATGACACGAGGTACGTGATAACCGGTTAACATTTTTAGTAATTATGGGCAAGAAGGAAAATAAATGAATGAAATAAAATAAAAATAAAATGTCGAAAACGTGTGATGTTCCGCATGATGATAACTATGATATTGGGTCGGGGTTTATTTTGCGACTTTTATCGGTTGCAACAAAAATGAAATCCTGCCAATTTACAGTATATTTGTTTGCAAATTGATGCCAGTGACGTAACATTTAAGGCTTCTTTGACAGGAGGCAGGGTGGGGCGGGGCTATCATGTGGAGGGGGCACTCAATGGGTTTCTCATTATGCTTATTGTTGAAAAATTGGTTGAAAATGTATACAAAGTAAATTACTGAAAATGTGTTTAAAGTGTGGAGATTTACGGTACCCTTTCTATTATAAATCCATTGCACAATCTGTTAAAGGGTTAATATTTTTACGACAACGTGTTCCTCTTTTGAACGAATACTGAATATATTGTATCGATCCTATTCCTATGTGCCGTAATTAGCTACTATCGCTTGTGGGAGGAAAACGTGACCTTTGCCCCAAAAGATTATTGCTTTTATAAGCTGCTTGCCCCGTGCTCTTCAAAAAAAATTCTTGTTTTTTTTTCCTGCTAATAAACGACTTTTCAATTTGTATTGTTTATTTTAGCGTGAAAGAGCCACTGTATATTCCGATTTGGGGCGTCTGTAACTGTCTGAAGAATGGCTTTCATTTTGCGCAAAAATGAACCGGCCCTACGAGATTCGAATTATCGTCTAATTGCAGCCACTAATTCGAATTTTGTGATAAAATAATTCAAAAACTAAACCTCTCTGGATTTGTTTCGTTGGATGTCGATAATTCAGAAAAAGTGAATAACTTTTATATTGCTAGGAAAAAAGCAATTGAAAAATTGATTTTTTTTTTTTAAGTGAAGCTTGAAAAGAACGGCTGGAGTGCATCTTTTACTTTAGGGATTAGTACAGCGATCGTAAGGCGATTTATTCCTTGTTTTGACACAGCAATGTATAATATCATTTAATTTTCTATTATTTCTTGGTGTCTTGTTAGAATATTGCTTGCGCCATGAAAACCTGACTGTTGCTCCTTGTCTGTCCGGGGGCATCCACAGAAACGTAAACAACATCACGTACTTCCCCAATTTTCTGGGCCATCAGACTTCGCAGGAGGCCATCGGGGGATTCAACGATTTCTACCCGTACCTCCAAGTCCAGTGCTCGCCGAACCTGCAGCAGTTTCTGTGTGCCGTGTACTTTACATGGGGGTGCGAAGTGATAGGCTACCCCATTTTCCCATGCAGGGAATTCTGTGAGCGTGTCAGAGACGACTGTGATTGGGCCTTCCGACGCGCTGGCACCGCCTGGCCTGACAGTTTGGACTGCAACGATTTCTGGATCGACAGCCGTGACCATTTCTGCATCCGTGATCCAGGTAAAGGCCTGCGCCTTATAATCGGAGATATATTAACGCCAGGTTGTTTACCCGTTGCTATTTGTTTTAAGGTTCTTTTTAAAATGGTGGTTTGGCGACTTTTATACTCCCGGGTCTGATATTACCCGGGTCAAAATGACGCTTTTCTGGGTCAACATGACACTTCTCTAGCTCATTTACTGGGTCATATTGACCCAGGAATGTGCCTTTTTGACCCGGAAAAGTATGAGGCTCGATGAATCCAGGTTCCGGGTAAATCTTACCCGGGGCTTTTTAGAGCTTGACAAATTTTTGACCGACTACTAACGAACATTTCCACAGTACGCGTTCTTGTAGAGCCTCATTTCTAATTGTAAATCAAGAAACTTACCCTCAGAGAAGAGAGACGAACTCAAAACTAGAGTGTGGTTCTTAATGAACAACATGCAAATGCATGCAACATGGAAATATATGGTATCATACCTACAATTGTAACCATATTGCTGAGATAAATTGGTCACAATATTGCCTAATTACGTATTCATGACGTCATAAACTTAGATCAAATAACTACACGGAAATGTTAATACAACATTTTTAACTTTGAATAATATAAGGTTATTATCAGATTGATAATAAATTAAGTGAGATATAATGACTATAGGGTCTGAAATTGACACTTCTGGTAACACCGGAAGTAAGAGTCACATGACCTCGAAATTCCCGGAGGCATATTTTCAGGCCAATATAATGCAATGTAACAACTGGAACTCACCTTATCGTATTGTTGAGATATGGTGGCCACAAAATTGCCTCATTAAATATTCATGACGTCATGACAAGAGAATTACGTAATTTATCATCACCTTACTTTAAAAAAATATATATTACTTTAGGCTGTCTCTTGATATGTGAGGGACAAACAGGTGGACATATCTCAAGATATATGAGTAATAGTATGGACTTGAATTCACTATTACGTAACATGTGATGACGTATTTATGAAGTCATATCAATTTTCATCTATAACACTTCCCTGTCTATCTACATAAGAGGTTTGAGATGAATCAGTCCACAGTAGTTCTAGTTGTAGGAATCTAGAAAATGAACCTTGAATCGATGGTGAAACACCTTGACAGGTGAACCAGATGAACCTGATTCGGAAGAGGATAAAGGAAATGGAGAAGACAACCTTCCCTCGACCATCGTCCCACCACCGACCCCTCGTCCCGACCCATCGGAACACTGCCAGCCTCTCCCAGACGACCCGATCTGTCAGTCTATGCCGTACACTACCGTCATCTACCCCAACATACTCGGGCAAGGCAACCACAGTGATGCGCTGGTCGAGCTGCACAGGTACAGCGCGTTCATGTCGGACGGGGGTCCTTGCTCGGATCTGCTCAGAACCTACCTGTGTCTTGCCTATCTGCCACCCTGCAAGGTATGATGAAATACAATCAGCTTGAAAAAACAAACATAGTCCCTTGAAGGTGCATGCAGACCACAAGTCCTCACAAGTCCATCATTAGCAGCTAGTGTTTCAGTCGATTCCATCAAGTTCATCAAAGTCCTTTAGGTAAATCACAAGTATTGTCCACAAGTCCATGCAGCCGCAAATAACAAGGGGGTGAACAACGACAAAGGAATGATACAATCCATTTGAATAGCTTGTGACTTGAATTGAGAGTGATGGATTTTGGTGGATATGTGAGGACGAGTCGGTACTTAATTGTCAGAGACTCGAGTGAAACACTGATCACAGGTCCTCCGGTCTCAAATCATGTCTGAAGTTCAGAATTCACGAGGCGCGAAGCGCCCGAATTCGTAAATTAAGAATCCACACTTAAGAGTGTATTCTTCGACTTAAGCCATTGCGTCAACGGAAGTATTGGAAAAAATGTTGCCAGCTGAGGCCACTTTTTCTTAATATATCATATCTCATCATCATGAAATCATGACGGTCATTCGTTGCAAAAATGATGAAAAGACATGAATCTGGGATCAAGAAATGTTTCCAGTTTTGTTAGGAAATACTTGAAATGACTCTCCATAGACTTTGTACAAAAGCGCGGAAGTGGCGTCAGGTTGCAACATTTTTTCCTGGCGTGTTTAGCATGTGTATCGCCACACCCGTACAACCAAGTCATTTGTGTGTATAGGCTCCTAATGTCAAAATGGATAGTTCAGACGACGATTTCTTTCTGACTAAAAGTAGATTTTGCAGTGACGGCGGAGAATCTGACAGTGAAGATCAGTGGCGTAGCCAGGAATTTTTCAGTGGTGGTGGGGGGGGGGGGGGGGCATATGGAGAACTTTGCCACCCATATGTGCAGAAAATCAAAGCACTGTGCTCTGCGGTCACACACAGGATGCATTGACCCGGCGACCTGCACAGCCCCACTGCGTAGACCGGACTATACATAAACAGCAGGTCGATCCTCAGAACAAAAGCGATGTCTGATTTGACAAGAAAAGTGCCCCTTTTTCTTCTCAACCAATCAAAACGGTTGTTACATGAAAGGAAAGCTTATTGTGTTCTCTTTCAGAAACCGTGCGAGGTAATTGTATGCGACCGGGTACACACGTGTGCTGTTCGAAGAAGTAAACCCGCACCCTCAAAAATCGGGGAAATGTGCCGTGACCTCCATAGGAAACGCGAAATGTTCACTGAGTTGCCCGTTTTTCGATGGAAAAATGCACATAATTATTCGCCTTTAATCAAGAAGAAATTATATACATGTGAAAGAGAAAAATCTGTATTTTGTGATGCGATGCGAGGAAGTAAGTTTAACCAACAACAACACACTTTCCGCATATTTACGAAAGTTTGCTCAGAGCGCCTAGACATGAGCCAGTCTTCCCACGTAAACAGAGCTGCACTAGTGACGAGTGAGCAAATGCTCCCTAGTTCTCCATATGCTGGAACATTTCATGGGGGGCGTCATGTAGATCAATGATAATTTTGTTAGAAACTCAAAATCTCAGTGGGGGGGGGGGGGGGCGACTGGGGGCGACAAGGTTTCGGGGGGGGGGGGCTGTCGCCCCCCACGCCCCCCGTGGCTACGCCACTGGTGAAGATGCCTTGGCAACTTTTGGAAAGCAACTTTTCATGCAGACGGTCCTATTCATGCTCATTATGGAGAACAATTGTCCGACGTGTTCAAAGTGTGGATTCGTAATTCCGAATCCACACATTACTAAAGATTCGTAGTTCCGAATCCACACTTTGTGACCAGTGTAAGAGATTCGTAGATCCGAATCCACACTTTTAACAATAGTGTGACTCATAGCAATGTGAAAGGACTTGTGATTTACTCTTTGACCAGGCTTGTGATGGACTCAACTACAACACATTGTATGGGTAGTGTGAAATTTGAAATCTAAGAATTTGAACTCAGTGGACCATGTCACGTGTTAAAGTTGGAGTCCATATAAGGTATCAAAAACCAGATATAAAACAGGAGTCCACATTTTATATGACACCGGCCTAAACCGCCCTTCCTGTTACTCCCTGTGTCCCGCCCAGACCGCCTGAGCACTCAATGGTTTTAATCGGGCAATAAATTATCAATACAATGTAATACGATTTAGTACAGGAATGGGTTAGGGGTAAGAAGTGTGAACATTGACTACTTCGAATCTCGACTCGAAGTTGAGGGAGATAGTCAGCTATTTCTTCCTCCCTGGTAAAATCAGCCAACCCTAACATTGAAGACAAAATTTTAGAAAACCGCGGGATATTTCCTGGACTGAGTAGGATTCGAACCCGGATTACAGAATTGGAAGGCAACCAAACTGAGAGAGACAGAGAGAGGGGGAGGAGGGGAGAAAAGTAAGGCTTCTCTTTGCAGATGGACAGAACGCCTCCTCTGATTTTGTTCTTGACATCCTCAGATTGTGGAGGAGGTTGCTGCTCCTATTCCTCCCTGCAAGGCGCTCTGTGAACTGGTTCTGACCGACTCCTGCATAGGCGCTCTGGCTGCCTTCAAGATGGAACTACCGTCCACCTTAAGCGACTGTTCCATGTACCCGAAGCAGAGTGATTCCTACCCCACATGTTTCATTCCAGGTATGACACAGATTTGTAACCTATTAGTTCCTGGTCAGTTTGACCCGGAATTGGCGTTCGATTTGGCCTAATACCTTTTTAGAGAAAAAAATGACTACTTTCAAAGTCAGTGAGATTTCTGGATCATTTTGACCCGGAAAACTTGTAAGAGTGGATTTGACTCAGAGAAGTGTCATTTTGTGACCATGCAATGTATTTAGGAAGTCAATAAAAGCACCATTGAGTTTCGTCAAAACAAGTCTTCTCCTTTAAAGAACCTTTATTTTAATGTATCGCCATTTCGTTGATCTATATACTGGAAGATGTCATTTTATAATCCGCAGGGGCAGGATATGACCCTTTGAAGTACTGGTCCCCACCACCAGTGATCACAACCGATTTAACATACCAGTGCAAGACGACTGGCTGCGAGAATGTGCTGCACGGCAAGTGTCACTCTTTCGGGTTCTGGATGGTCACCTTCCCCAACCTCCTCGGGCACACCAACATGCAGGAAGCCCTGGACGATCTGGACCGCCTGGTGCCGTTCATTGACTCGGGCTGCTCGGACAAGCTGCAGGTCTTCGCCTGCTACGCCTTCTTCGTCACCCCGAGCACGACCGATCACGCCAGCGGTCGGTTGCCGTGCCAGAGCGCCTGTCAAGAGATTTGGAAAAGCTGCCGCGGGACTGCAGGGGAGCTGTTTGAGAAACGACCCCGGCTGATGACGTGCAGGCTGTACCCTACAGAGAACTGCGAAGGTATAGGCTACATTCTGAGCGAGTGTGAGCCGGCCCATTCGGCCATGATTCTAAAGCCAGCCTCAGGTTAACCTTGCGACGACACAGATCAGTCGGCGACTAACTTTTCAGGATCAAGCTGCGTCTGAGCTACGACCATCGAGAACAATGCAGTCACCGATTTTGTGCGACCTGAGTGTAACTGCGACGATATTAAAACGATCGGCATCAGTTGGCGCGCACAAAAATCACCAGTCGCAAGAGTAGAAAAACTGATTTCTCAGTTTTGTGACCATGAGCATAATCTTTGTGCTCGTTGCCGACGGTTCCGTCGTGGCGCAAGCTAATCGTGGGTCGACCTGAGGCCGGCTTTAGATGTCATTACTAACTACAGAGTTGCACGTACAGATTGTTGCAGGCACTCAATGCTATTTCGAACAAAAGCATTACAAAACTAGAAATGTGTTTGTGGACAAACACAAGCTGTTTCGGATATTTGAAATACTCTGTGCACGTGATGAACACTTGATGAAGTCACTTCGAGTGTCATCTGCCAAGTGAAAAGTCAATCAGACATATAGTGCCAAAGTATGATTTGAAGAAAAACGTGTACAAACCCTATGGGAAAAAATGCATCTTTAATGTGAAGTAACCTTACACCTGATGATGTCACGATCACGAATTTCTTCTAGGACCATCTGTAGGTGGTAGTCTAAGTGTGTACCAAGTCTAACGTCGATCAGATTTACGAAAGTGCCAAAGTAGAATGTTTTAAACGTGTACAAACCCTATGGGGAAAAATGCATCTTTAATGTGACGTAATCCAACACCTGATGACGTCACGATCACAAATTTCTCCTAGGACCATCTGTGGGTGGTATTCTATGTGTGTACCAAGTCTGACGTCGATCAGATTTACGAAAGTGCCAAAGTAGAATGTTTTAAACGTGTACAAACCCTATGGGGAAAAATGCATCTTTAATGTGACGTAATCCAACACCTGATGACGTCACGATCACAAATTTCTCCTAGGACCATCTGTGGGTGGTATTCTATGTGTGTACCAAGTCTGACGTCGATCGGATTTACAGAAGTGCCAAAGTGGAGTGTTTTATAATGTGTACAAACCCTATGGATAAAAATGCGTCTTTAATGTGACGTAACCCAACACCAGATGACGTCACGATCACGAATTTCTTCTAGGACCATCTGTGGGTGGTGGTCTAAGTATGTATCAAGTCTGAGGTCGATCGGATTTACGAAGAGGCCAAAGTGGAGTGTTTTAAAACGTGTACAAAACATATGGGGAAAAATGCATCTTTAATGTGACGTAACCCTACACCTGATGACGTCACGGTCACGAATTTCTTCTAGGACCATCTGTGGGTGGTGGTCTGAGTATGTATCAAGTCTGAAATCAATCGGATTTGAAAAAGTGGCAAAGTGGACTGGTGGAAGAAACGTGTGTTAAACCTATGGAGAAAAAGTCTGAAAAAGGAGAAAAAAAAAAAACTAGAGATGTGTTTGTGGACAAACACAAGCTGTTTCGGATATTCGATATGCTCTATGCACGTGATGAACAATCATTGACGTCACTAAAAATGTCATCTATAACAGCACATTATACGTACATGTCAAGGTATAACCAAATCGAACATATAGGTCTGTAAATATAGGCCTATAAAAAACAAAATGCCCCTTTAAGGGACGTCACATGACATTTGATGATGACATCACATGAATTTTCATCTATAACCCATCTCGGCATTGGTACGATCACGAATTTCTTCTAGGACCATCTGTGGGTGGTAGTCTAAGTGTGTACCAGGTCTAACGTCGGTCGCATAATTACAAAAGTGCCAATGTAAAGTGTTTTAAAACGTGTACAAACCCTATGGGGAAAAATGCATCTTTAATGTGACGTAACCCAACACCTGATGACGCCACGATCACACATTTCTTCTAGGACCATCTGTGGGTGGTGGTCTAAGTATGTATTAAGTCTGAGGTCGATCGCATTTATGAAGGTGCCAAGGTGGAGTGTTTTAAAACGTGAACAAAACATATGGGGAAAATGTGCATCTTTAATGTGAAGTAACGTGACACCTCATGACGTCACGATCACGAATTTCTTCAAGGACCATTTGTGGGTAATGGTCTAAGTGTGTACCAAGTGTAACGTCGATCGGATTTACAATAGTGCCGAAATGAAGCGTTTTAACACATGTACAAACCCTATGGGGAAAAATGCATCTTTAATGTGACGTAACCCAACACCTGATGACGTGACGATCACAAATTTCTTCTAGGACCATCTGTGGGTGGTAGTTTAAGTGTGTACCAAGTCTGACGTCGATCGGATTTACAAAAGTGCTAAAGTGAGTGTTTTATAACGTGTACAAACCCTATGGGGAAAAATGCATCTTTAATGTGACGTAACCCAACACCAGATGACGTCACGATCACAAATTTCTTCTAGGACCATCTGTGGGTGGTGGTCTAAGTATGTATCAAGTCTGACGTCGATCGGATTTACAAAAGTGCCAAAGTGGAGTGTTTTATAACGTGTACAAACCCTATGGGGAAAAATGCATCTTTAATGTGACGTAACCCGACACCTGATGACGTCACGGTCACGAATTTCTTCTAGGACCATCTGTGGGTGGTGGTCTAAGTATGTATCAAGTCTGAAATCAATCGGATTTGAAAAAATGGCAAAGTGGACTGGTGGAAGAAACGTGTGTTAAACCTATGGAGAAAAAGTCTGAAAAAGGAGAAAAAAAAAAAAAGAGATGTGTTTGTGGACAAACACAAGCTGTTTCGGTTATTCGATATACTCTTTGCACGTGATGAACAATCATTGACGTCACTAAAAATGTCATCTATAACAGCACATTATACGTACATGTCAAGGTATAACCAAATCGAACATATAGGTCTGTAAATATAGGCCTATAAAAAACAAAATGCCCCTTTAAGGGACGTCACATGACATTTGATGATGACATCACATGAATTTTCATCTATAACCCATCTCGGCATTGGTACGATCACGAATTTCTTCTAGGACCATCTGTGGGTGGTAGTCTAAGTGTGTACCAGGTCTAACGTCGGTCGCATAATTACAAAAGTGCCAATGTAAAGTGTTTTAAAACGTGTACAAAACATATGGGGAAAAATGCATCTTTAATGTGACGTAACCCAACACCTGATGACGCCACGATCACACATTTCTTCTAGGACCATCTGTGGGTGGTGGTCTAAGTATGTATTAAGTCTGAGGTCGATCGCATTTATGAAGGTGCCAAGGTGGAGTGTTTTAAAACGTGAACAAAACATATGGGGAAAATTTGCATCTTTAATGCGAAGTAACGTGACACCTCATGACGTCACGATCACGAATTTCTTCAAGGACCATTTGTGGGTAATGGTCTAAGTGTGTACCAAGTGTAACGTCGATCGGATTTACAATAGTGCCGAAATGAAGCGTTTTAACACATGTACAAACCCTATGGGGAAAAATGCATCTTTAATGTGACGTAACCCAACACCTGATGACGTGACGATCACAAATTTCTTCTAGGACCATCTGTGGGTGGTAGTTTAAGTGTGTACCAAGTCTGACGTCGATCGGATTTACAAAAGTGCTAAAGTGGAGTGTTTTATAACGTGTACAAACCCTATGGGGAAAAATGCATCTTTAATGTGACGTAACCCAACACCAGATGACGTCACGATCACAAATTTCTTCTAGGACCATCTGTGGGTGGTGGTCTAAGTATGTATCAAGTCTGACGTCGATCGGATTTACAAAAGTGCCAAAGTGGAGTGTTTTATAACGTGTACAAACCCTATAGGGAAAAATGCATCTTTAATGTGACGTAACCCGACACCTGATGACGTCACGGTCACGAATTTCTTCTAGGACCATCTGTGGGTGGTGGTCTAAGTATGTATCAAGTCTGAAATCAATCGGATTTGAAAAAATGGCAAAGTGGACTGGTGGAAGAAACGTGTGTTAAACCTATGGAGAAAAAGTCTGAAAAAGGAGAAAAAAAAAAAAAGAAAAAAAAAAATCTTAACGAAAACAAGAGCTGTTTCGGTGGGTCACCGAAACAGCTAAAAAGAAAAAAAAAATCTTAACGAAAACAAGAGCTGTTTCGGTGGGTCACCGAAACAGCTAAAAAAAAAAAAAAAAAAAAAAAAAAATCTTAACGAAAACAATAGCTGTTTCGGTGAGTCACCGAAACAGCTAAACATCATGCGAGTCTTGACTGTAATAAAGGTACCAGCTAGGTTCCAGTGTGGAAATCAGAGTTGTAATGACTCAAAGGGCGGATCCAGGGGGGGGGGGCAAAGGGGGCCATGCCCCCCCCCCCCCCCAAAAAAAACGAAACCAATTTTTTTTATTTTTTTTTATGTGACCTCGCAACAAAGGCAGGCAATGAGTACACAACCATCTTTTCCTCAAAAAACATTGGTTAAGGTGGTCAGAAATTGCCTCAGATCGCACCACAGAGCATCTAGAATCCAAAAAAAAATTCGGGGCCCTTAAGCAGGCCCCGAACCCCACGCCGTAATTTTTTGACCCACTTTTTTGGGGGACCAAAATTTTTTTGGGCCCCCCCCAAAAAATTGTGTTCTGGATCCGCCCTTGAATGACTCGAGTCAATGACTCGACTGAGTCCGACTCGAGTCACAATTTCTGGTGACTCGATTCGACTTGAGTGACTGAGGGCAAATGACTCGACTCACTTGAGTCACTGCGAGCAAATGACTCGACTCGACTCGAGGAAGGCTAATGAGACTCGAGTCCCAAAAAATAAAAGCAAAACTTATATTTGCGGTTACTTACGCCGGTGCCGGTTTTTGTTCACGTCACGTTAGCATGTTCGCAAATAATGTATACATAAACATGTACATGCATGGTTTGATCAGTGTCCCCATTAGTTGAATGACGATCAGCTGGCACCCCCTTTTTATTTTCATTAAGAGTCAAATGTGGTGTCGCCACATGTTGTAGCCGGAATGTAAAATTTAAAAAGCCAAACAATAACTTTCTCTCTTGTGTTTATTCATTGTTTAGTGCTCAAATATTTGTGACTCGAATTGACTCGAGCTAAATACTTGACTCGACTCGACTCGACTACACACTGTGACTCGACTCGACTCGACCTTCTTGACCTAATGACTCGACTCGACTCGAGGCACTTTTTAAAAATGACTCGACTCGACTCGAGTCACAAAAATCAGTGACTCGTTACAACTCTGGTGGAAATTCATTGTCACTTAAATGCACCTACAAAACGTAAATTGTCGCTTTGTCGTCTTAATTATCGCCTTGTTGTGAAGTGACATGCCGTCTTTGCAGGTAGATCCACAACAGTGTGTGCATCGCAGACGCCAATATCATGAAGTCTGCAGTGCAGTGTTTTTCATAGGCCATTGATCATATTAATGTAGGGCCTAGAATATTGAATTTAAGTAATGTGTCAGTATTAAGTTTATAATTATTACTCATTTCAGATATGAGCCTGGAACCTATCACCATCCTTAATTCAAGCCGTGTTAACGCCACTCACGGCTTTGTGGAGTTTACGGGAGGCCTTCTTACATCATATGACAAAGTTTCAAAGTGGGGAGTGCTCCACAGTTTCATATACGATCCCAAGGGCAAAATATTAGGAACACGTGAGGTAATGGCATTATTCCACATGCATGTGAACCATGGCATTATTGGTATATTAGTTTTATAAAAATAGTGTGTTGTTAAAGCCGGAGTCCATCATTTGAAGCTATCCAAAAAGTGACTCGCGTAACTATTGTTGAAAACATACTTGGTTGGAAGATAGTAAGAGGACTAAACTCACTGTGAAATTATTCTTTCTGGCATGCTGGCATTTTGAAGAAATCAACGAAAGAAGGACTTTCTAACGGTGCGTCTTAAGAAGCACCGTAGGAAATTTCCGCTAGTAGTTCGTTTTTTTTTTATTCGGCGAAGCGCGTGCAAGCATTGACACATCGCACGCGCGCGCGCAGTTGCTATAATTCGTCGGATCAGTGCGCTACATCGCGTAGCTGCAATCGGCTCAGTGAGAACGTGTCTCGGGCGCTGAATTCAGGCCCAGTTCAAAACATGATTCAGCAACTTTTGATTTGAAATCGAGATCCTAGAATGCTGTTTTTCTCGGAATATACAGCTGAAGCTGAGCTGAAACTTCATCAGGTTAGTTGTTCAGGACCCTTCTTTAGATTTAGAGCACTCTTGTTGCTTCAAACGAACAAAATGCACAAAATTACAAATGATGGACTATACCTTTAACTGCCGCTGCAGTTGAAGCTGATGTTGCTGCTGCTGGCGCTGCTGTTTTTGTTGCCATCGTTTTCTTTGTTGTTGTTCTTCGTTGTCATTGTTGTCGTTTTCGTTAATTTTGATTATGCTATTGCTACTCATGTTGCTGCTACTGTTTTGCATTGCCGTCGCTTTCGTTATTGCCCTGTCGTTTCTTGATATCATTGTTGTTTTTAATGTTGTTTCTGCTGCTGCTGCTGCTTTTGTTGTTGTTGTTGCTTCTGTGTTTGCTGTCGTAGTTGTCGTCGTTTTGGGTTTGCCGTTGACCGTCGTTGGTTCCGTTGTTGTCGCTGCTGCTGTCATCGCCGTCGATATTTTTTTTTTTTTTTATATGATTGCACTGCAGAATTACTTTGAGCTGTTTGACCTACTTGGATATCACGTTATGATTTGGCCCCGGACTGTATACGGGTGGGGAAATCAGCCAACAGTCGTCTGGATTCCTCCTCACAATAGGGGTAAGCAGTTCATATGAAAAGACAGAAATATCGCAAAACTGTGCACTCTTTTAGCCAATATGGTATCGTTTAATAAAGACAGCGCACACGATAGGCCCATAGTTGCCTTGTACTTGTTGAGTTTGCTTTTAACGTAAAATCTATATTTTATTGTTAATTACGTAATTACCGCCATTACAGAATTAGTAGCACTATGGAAATAAACGGTGATATTCAGTGTTGTATGACTCAAGTCGAGTTCATCTAGAGTCGCAGTTTCGATGACTCGGACTCGACTCGGGTAACATCGGCAAAAGACTCGGACTCGACCATTATGACTCAGACTTGACGCTAATGACTCGTGACTCGCGAGATATTTAAACCAAAAAAACACCCTTTATTAAAGAAAAAAGGTCATTCCGACGTTTGGTTTAAAAAGGTGACGCCACTAAAAAAAAGTGACAGCACACGAACCGTCTAGGTGGTGTTGCAAAGAGTGTTTGTCATTAAATACGCCACTCCCTATTTCCCGGAATCCCGGGACAACGCATCACATAACAGCGCTTTCAATTTCTTATTCCTCCGTGATATTGTCCACGCCAATGTACATCTACATCGTACATTATTGCATTGACCAACAGGATCAATTCCCGATCACTGTGAGCGAGTCGACATCATGTACTGCAGCAAACTGGGCTACAACACTACCTACTCCCAGGACTATCCGTTTTGGACTCCCCCGGATAAGCTCCTCGACTCCTGGCGAGACTACTTCACAGAGGAGACGGTGGAGTCCGGGGTTGGGTGCTTACCACGCCTGCATGAGGTACTCTGCGGCCTACTGGCGCCCCCGTAAGTAACCCCCGCTCAGACTATTGCTGGCAGCAGATACACTCTATCTACGGTACAGACTTGCAAATCGACTCCCATAGACCCCAATGGTAAATATGTAAAATACTCACAACTCTCCAAGGTGTTAGAGACACCCATGAAATTAAAGGTTATTTCATCATGTTTCATTCTCTGTTCATTTCTTTTTTTTGGGGGGGGGGGGGGTTATACTGATGATTTTGGGGAGAAAATTCCATCCAAATAGATAATCACCCCTAAAAGAAGTCCTGAAGTCAATTGCCATTTTGAAAATGGACGCCTACGCTCCATTGCAATAATAGAGCCATTTTAGGGCCTAATTTCATCAAAGTTTCACAGAAAATACAAGTCCTCTGCACGGCTTCCACCTTTTTTATGTTTTTTTTTTTTTTTTTTTAGAAATCCTCGAGTTCACAGCCCTCAACATGTTCTAATCCCTGAGAATTTGAAGGCATGCAAATTTTGATTTGGCCCGCGTAACCTATTTACAGATCTGCACCGATTACTATAAGTTTTGTATATAAACACACGTGCATTATATTTACTTTCCCAGGTGCTTGTCATCGCCCGAGTATTATAGGTACTCCCTCCGAATGCACCGAACCTGTCAAGAGTTCTGCGAGAGCGTCCTCAAGCAATGCAATACTTTCTCACACAGCCTCAGCTGGCTCTTAGAGTCCCTGCCGTGTAACCGATTGGGGCGTAGTTCAGAATATAGATGCATCGGAGAGTCCGACTGGGATCCATCCGGTGTGTTATATTGTAAACCCTTCTACAGTTATCCGCAATTAGGTCTGCTTTTTTTTGTTTAAATGACTTGCTTCGAAAGGTGACAAGGAATATTCAAAATGTAAAGCCCGCCGCACACGAGGGCTACGTGCTGAGCAAAAATTCTTTTGAGGCCGTTTGCTCAGCGCGTATAGCTCACCGTGTGCGGTGAATTTTTGCTGAGTTTTCTGCTTCGACGCGAAGCTGTGAGGCTAATTTCTACTCTGTTTTATTTCTTTCGCCTCGCGAGGCGAAAGTCTCACCGTGTCCAGCGAACCTGAGCAAAAAAAATCACCGCACACGGTGAGCTACGTGCCGAGCAAAATGGCCTCAGACTTTTGCTCAGCACGTGGCTCTCGTGTGCGGCGGGCTTAAGATTAGGTATTTACATTGGAGACTTGAGTTTTGCCTTCGATGTACATGAAACAAGCAGCCGAGAAACTGTCTTCAAACTCCTGAACCTCTGATGAAACTAGCAAGTCCTAATAATTGAAACCCCTTTTTCCAACTTACTCTTTTTCTTCTGTAGAGGCTGTCATTCAGAGAGATAACGATCAATATCAGGATGAGAGCGTCAAGGTGTACTGCTTAGTGACCGAAGACAGACCGAAAGCACCGCCAGAATTCTACGGCCCAGATGGTAACCTCATCCCTGTGACGTCACTCAATGGTACGTGCCCATTCATTCAATCAATTGTCGTTCAGACGTGAATTACCAAGTCATTATATATCGATTTGTGCACGTTTATCCACAACTTTGATTATTTCAAACTGAAACTGTATGCAATATCAAACTTCTGGAATCTTAAAATTAGAATTGGCATCCCCTTTATTCGCATTTAGATCCGAATGATCCCCATCCTGACTCGAAGTTTTGATCAATACGGTATCAGTTCGGTCCCGATTAAATGAAACCCATGAATTGTGAGAGTTCAGAACAATGTCCACATACAAGCTGGAGTATCGGGGTCCGCTCGGTAGTCCTAAGGTTGGATAGTTCCGAACGTTCGATAGTCCGAACAAACACATTTCTCACACCCGGGGTTTATTAGTCCGAAAATGAAATTAGAATCTTTAATCCTATTGGGTGCAATAGTCCGAACCTTCATTGCGAACCTTCGAACTGACTATAGAATCTTCGGACTATGAGCGGTAACCGAGACACACATTGGTACAAGTGGTTGCCACCACTGTTTGATCTTTCCAAGATATCGCCATATTAAATCCAAAACAAGGCTGAACATGCCAAACAAAATGTAAAAGATGAACTTACTATAAAGCTACGTACTATACGTGAGAATGTTCAGTTCACCGCATCAGCCTTTTTTTTACGACGTGTAGCGTACTCGTCTGGAAGACATGTAATCCAGCTTTCACCCAGATTGACAATGCTGTTCTTCAAGAAGGTTCCCATTGACGATGTTGGTACCTACACGTGTAAGGCAGCTGGCGGGAGAGTGCTTCGCACGACTGAAATCAGGCCCTTGGGTAGGTCAACTTTGAGAGTTGGGTGTGGGGGGAATTAAACAGAAAAAAAGAGACAGAAAAAAAAAGACAAGGGAGCGATGTCAACATTTTATACTGTTGATTTAATGTATATTTAACAACATGAAGTCGGCAGAGAAGCGGGAAGGGGAACGGGGAAGGTTGACAAATCCCCCGATTGCTTCTGGTGAATGCTTGGCCCCCTCCTCCCTTTTTGAAAAACCAAGGCGCCGACCATATTAGCGCTTATTCGGCGATTTTCCTGGATTTTTCCCGGGCATATACGCAAATTCATACCCAATGTACGATATAAACCAAGTTGTAAAAGATTGTTGGTGGATTACGGATTTTTACTTAGAAAGTTGCTATCAGATTAATGTCGTCATCGACACCACGAAGTAACACTCCACGTGTTAAACCATATTTTTTTTCGATTTTCAGATTGTTACCTTTTTAAACATTATTCATCAAGGCCTACCATTGCACGAAGTTTCAAAGCTTCAAGAGCTTTACTTTAAATAATTAGGCTACGCTAATTATTGTCCATGGCAAAAGTGACAATTGTCGTTTTCACGAAGTAAACACTCAAGTTCCATTTACCATTGCAATGCATGGCGCGCACTCTGCTCAAATGTGAGCAGATACGTTTTCACGAAGTAACACTCTCCTTGTATGAGCGCGCGCGCGCTGACCTGAAGTTGCACTTTCCTCGTGTTATATACATTGAAGAGTGTTACTTTGAGAAAACAAAAATTTACAGTTTCGCAGCTTTTCGATTTCACGAACTAACACTTACCATTTTCTCTTATTTCTTGTTGATTTAATACACAAACTGGTGAAAAAAAAACAGATTTAATAAATTCAATTCATCAAGTGTTCACAACGAGAAACCCAATTGAAAATACTCTGCCGTTTTGACGCAAAGTGTTGTTTTAGAAGGCGTTCAACTTTAGATGCCGTTTTCTCCGATTGCTAGTTTTTACTGGTACGTACACGGGTGTTACTTCGTGGTGTTGCTGACGATATGTTTAAATACTAAACATGTTTAGAGTTATGATAGCTAGTAATAAGATAAGTTGTTGCAGTAGCACCATGTGGCAGAATCTCTTTTGCGAGTACCCTCCGGTTCTTTTCAGAACACACAAACCTTCAAATCTCATCTGATGATGGGAAAAGTGTTTAACGATTTAACATCGATGTTAAGGAATTGAATACTAGTGGGTTTTTGTTACCTTCTAAACATGTTCACAAAGTGATAGCAAGATTTTGTTTAAATTGCTAAACAAAGTTTTTAGAGTGTTAGCTTATATTGTTCTCACTTCAAGCGAAATGCATGCCATCGTTCAACCACACCCTATGCAACTCCTTCTCACGAAGCGACTCCGTGCTGTCCCCTAATGTCCTGGGTCACACCACCCAGTACCAAGCCGAGGTCGCCTCCTACAATCTCCTGCCTCTCCTTGCCACCGGTTGTTCCCCCGACCTTCTTGAGCTGGTGTGCGCCCTCTACGCCCCAGAGTGTCCAGACTTTGTAAGTCTATCAACTTCGTTTTTTGCTAGGCTCCAGCGTCGCCGCGGAAACACGCCTACCGCCATTATTTTTTATATCATTTTTAAGCTTGGAATCTGAACTTTATCCCTGGTAAGTACTGGTTTGATTTTCAAAAGGGTTTTGAAACTATTCGTGTTCAAATAAAGGCATGCCAAAAACAAACTCAACCGATTTCAAGGAAAATCAATAATGCGCATGTTTTCTAATGTGGTAATGCTTCATCATGTTCATGATGTGACGATCACGTTGCCTTTTACTTTCCTTTTCTTTTCCATCCACGTAGATTACACCTTAAGGAAATTCACAATATTGTTCTTCGTTTCAAGTTCAAGGTTTTTTTAAATGTTATTTCAACAGCTTGTTGACTCCAGTTTGCATCTGATGTACCGCATCATTGATTTTCCTTGAAATCGGTTGAGTTTGTTTTCGACATGACTTTATTTGAACATGAATAATTTTAAGACTCTTTCAAAAAAATCAAACCATTAATACTCGCCAGGGAGTTGCGGGTATTTTAGGACGTGCTGCATGGGCTTTGTGAGTGGCATTTCTAATATGAAACACGTAGCATGGTACGTATAGGCCTACATAATATCAAATTGTCATCCAAAAGGGCCACACTTTTATCAAAAAAGGCTTCATATCATGTTGGATATGCACATGTTTTTTTTCCCTTATACCATCTCTAAAATTAAAACCCGAACACAATTTTCCGGTCTTTTATAGAGAGGTTCACGGATGCAGCAGATGAACTTGCCCTCCCGGGGATTGTGTCACAAGGTGAAAAGCGCATGCGCCGAGGCGGCAGCCGACATCGGTTTCGAATGGCCCCGGGAAGTGCAGTGTGATAAAATGGCGCCCGATCTGACGAACGATGGTCTAATGAAAGGTGGGAGATATTTGACATTGGCAATTTACCAAAAATCGATCTCGTCTCCGGCTTCGGCCAAACATGCTTCGTACGTACCTCAACACGATAGCCTACTGTGAAATGTTGGCTCTTTTGACCGTCCCACGCATGGCTAAGCGAACGAGTGTCCATAAATAAAGCCTAACTGGCCGGATGTCATAGGAATCCCAATTTTTAACCAAACTGAAGGATTCAATGCTCATATTTTTAGCTGTATATGATACCGGCACCCTTCAGTAGGAGACAAAGGTACCCCTATTGAAACGGAATCGGTTACTTAACTAAGCATTTGTAAAACCTGACCACCACAGTTGTTTACCCGCCAGGATTTTTGTGGTATGTTTCGTACATGTTGACAACAATTTTACAAATTTGGCCAAACCTGTTTTTTTCCAATTCTGGTAGGTATGAAATGTAAGCTATTTCCGTTGACTGAGCAGACATTAAAGCACTCACATGGCGTTTACTTTCAAAAAGACCCTTTTACAGATTGCCGACGGACCGGAAGTGCACAGTGTAGGTATATATAGTGCTGCATTGTGGGAAAATGGCACCATACCAGTAAACTCAGTGCCCCGTGATGCAACGTACCTTCTCTGCATACTTACGATGAATCGTTCAAAGAGTCAATAGATAACATATGGGTTTACTTTATACAATGTATGTATCAGTAAAAGGGTCCATATAGCTTGGTACGCCTATATTATTATTTGAGGTCTATATGAGTTGTATATATCAGTACAAACGGGTCCGTATATTCCCGCAAATAATGACCATGCTTTTGGGAGGGATGTTTTACAGAAAGAATTGTAGCTTGGGGAGGCAACCGTAGATTGGTTTACGTTCTATTTCTAGGCATAACTGTGTTGTCACAAATCGATTCCTCGTTACGGTGATGCAACACCTACCTCAAGAATATTAACCACTTCGCGCCGGGTTTATTTTGTCGAAAATTTTGAATTATTTCAAAAGGCAACGTCAACTTCTGATATACAGAAAACGGTCACAAATACTGATTCGCAAGAGTGATTTCAACAGTATTTGTACAATATTTCTTGCCGGTCACCTCATTATGTTTCAATACTCCGGGGTGTGCACTGGAGCGTAAATTGTACAATAGACAACGGCCAATTCAAGATCAACACACGGTCCGCCTCCACAGACTATATGGACTTTGTGCTTTGTACAAAAGGCACGAGGGATTAGCCTGTTTAGACGTCACCCGGAGGCGATTTGATGCAATCTTGATATCTTTAATAATCCGTCAGCCGTGCAAGTGCACAAAACAGCCAGCCTGCGTGTTATCACGGCGCGAACTGGTTAAACAGTGTTTTTTTTTAGCACAAGTCTATGGGAATGGGTCACTATGTAACTGTTATGTACCATTAATAAATACCTTGGAGAGTTGATGGTTTCTGATTGGTCGAGACTCGATCACGTGGCCGGGCATTAACGGTGATAATGGACCGGCTTCAAAGATCAAGCGAATAAATGGCCCCTGAACCAGCATTGATCAAGCCCCGTTCAGCCCCATGCAAGCCAATGATTGGTCAAAATATAGTAACAGTCCTGCGGTGTAGCTTGTAACAATAGAGCACTGCACATGCGCTCAACCCCCATCGCGTGAGACTGACGCGCGCGTACGCAACACAGTTGCTAGGGATGCGTGCGTGCGCGCGCGTAAGGAAGTTTTGAAACGACATCGGGATCGTACAGCAGTGCAGTATATACTGAGGATGTTTACGACGAAAGCGTAGATCTACGATTTATTTTCTTTGAACACTTCACCCACCGACATATTTACCTTTCCTAAACCAAGCATCTTTGTAATTCCGGACACAAGGAATGTGTAAACGAGATTTCAGCTTCCTCCATCAGGTAAAGATATGGAAACATTGTTGTAATTTGTTTCGCTACGGCAGCAGTTTCTGAAGTTGAGTTTACGTCGTTATAGCTGTTAAGCTAAAATATGGCCCATGAACATGAACACAAAAAGTCTGGAAATATCGCCCCGAAAAAAGTCACAAAATTGGAGCATTTTAACTGTTTATTTCGTTTAAAAGGTATTTATTAATGGGAATAACAGTGTGAGAATCCAGTCTTCACTGCGTGATAATGACCGGGTGTGGGGGTGACCGCTGTTAATGGACCTCGACTTCGTCTCGGTCCATTAACAGCGGTCACCCCCACACCCGGTCATTATCACGCAGTGAAGACCGGCTCCTCACACTGTTATTCCCTTAGTAGAAGGGTAAATACACTACTTATAAAAATATACCCCCACAGAGCATATTGGCCCAAGGAAGAAAGACTGCATCAACCTCCGCCGTTATGACATCACGGACCTCGGTATCGAGTATCTATTCTACGGCTGGGCAGACGTACAGGGACAGGGTGCTGCTAACGACTTCTGCAGGCAAGTCATATCCATGATGTGTGGGTGCATTGCAATAGAAGGTTTACATGTCACAAGATACATCATTGATACACATTAGTTAGTTGTCATTTTAAGGGTGATAAACTGATATTGATTTTGTCTTTTAGATTGCTTGGGAAACAGTTCAAAGATCCTTAAAATGATCAACTTGCCTTGAATTTATTTTTAAATGAGTTAGCCTGAGTAAATACATTTTTTTTTCACGACATGCTGCATTCTGTAAAATACAGTTTTATGGCAACATGGACACACTTTTCAACTGTAAATTGTATTACAAAATAGGCCGGCAGACTAACTCCGTTATTCATTTGATTACAGGGACGTCGTTGGATGTCACATTTTTGTAGGATTGAGGTATACCAAAAAAACATGTTGTCTGCATCTCGATAAGAAGCCTGCAATCTTATCCTGTAATCGAGGTCTTTGCTTTTCATGCATTTTGTTCGTTTCCACTAAATATCCAAAGAAGAATGTACAAGACCTATTACCTGTTTCAGCCTCCTTGGATATTACACTTTTCGAGAAAACAGTGCAAACAAAAACATGCACCATGATCGAACAATAAAATGTATCAATCCTGATATTAATTATTGTTCGATCGTTCTTTTGTGAAAGCACGCCTGGCAGTGTGTCAAGGGCTAGGCTTGATTATCAAGAATGCCATTTTCTAGTCCTTTTACCTATTGTAGATCTATTGTTGAATCTTGTGAGTTTTATTGTGTATATTTCTTTCCGTCATTGGGTAATAAACCAAAACCAAAACCAAAACCAAAACCAAAACCAAAACCAAAACCATACCATACCATACCATAACTTTTGATCACCAAACACGATTTCGTCTATAGCACTCTTTATTCCAAAAATCAGTCAATTGACTGATTGTTGGAAATCACAAAACCAAAACCAAACCATACCATACCATACCATAACTTT